GGAGAAAGCGTGAATACAACTGCTTTACTGTTTAACAAGTGGGCAATGAAGACCTGCATCATTGTTGAAGGTGAGGGAAAAAAGCTGAAATGACCTTAGGCCATAGGAGTCCTTTAACTGGAAACAAGAAGTTTTATCTAAATAAATTAGAATCATGGGGAAGAAGCAAAGCAAGAAAGGATACAGTCAAAGCCACATTCTGGAAAAAAGTGCAGATCTAATTGAAATGGCACAAATAGGTAAGACTGCTTTGCTGCAGGGAAAAGAAGAAAAGGCAAAGCAGAGTGCAAGCATACAAAACTTTACCTGCAAGGATGAGAACTTGTATCTCAATTTAAGAAGCGGCAAACTCACAACATTTAGACAAAATTATAGTATGAGAAACTGAAGAAAAACTTGGGCTCAAGTGAATGCCCACATAGAGAAGTGAGAGCCTCCAGAACACAAGGGTCAGTAGTAACGTTCACTCACCAAGAAAGTAAAAAGCAGAAAAATTGGGTCTTTTTAAATTATGTAGTGCATATGCTAAGAGTCAGGTGTGTGCAAGAACCAGTCCACAGTCAAATATGTTTTTTGTAGTACAGAGACACAAAGACAAAGGCACATATGTCAGAGCCAAATGTAAGTAGACTATTGCATATATTTTATGGAACAGAAACATGCACGTCATGTGCTTAAAGCATAGAGCAACTCAAGTGTTGAGCACAATGGTCTATGAATTCCAACAGAACTCTTAACTTTGTTGTTTTGTTGTTCTTGTTTTTTTAAGCCTAGAGTAACATACTCTAGCAATTTTCATTGACATCTTCCCATAAAACACTTCTGTTTCTAATGACTGACCATGTTTACAACTGGCTTTTCAAAATCTTTGCTTTTTGGTTGTTCCTGTTTGTTTGTTTTAAGAGCAAACTATATTCTTTTAAAAAAATCTATTCTTTATTACTGATGAAAGTTAGACATGCGATACTGATCTTTTCATCACACTTCCATGAAAAGTGATGGATCATTTTGTTGCTCTGGTTGACCTCAACTTCCACTGTTAATTTTAAGTATTCCAGCACATGAACTCTTTTTCCCGTGATGATCTTAAACGAAATTACTTTAAGTGATGTGGGAACTTGATCAGATTATTTTAAATGTGATTACTATGGTACTCTCTTATATTTCAACTACTCAAATTTCTGTTCTTTTTATTGATCTTGCAGGGCTGCATATTTTAGGTCATTCAGGTATTTTACCATGCTGACTAGCAGTTGCTTTCTTTTTTTTTCTTTTTTTTTTCCCCCCCCCCGCAAACAACAGCAACAAAATCTGTATGCATTGGAAAGAAGAGGAGCTATGGGAATATGGAAGACAGCCACATCCTCTATCAATCCAAGATGTAGTTTATTTGTCTCCGTGTTACATCTATATATTTTAAGTGGTAACTGATAGTGTAATGGTCTGAACATATTAACGCCCAGAGTTACTATCAAAACATGCATCTCTTTAAATTGCATCTGTATCAACCATATGCATTTGACAGGATTTTATTACACAACATGAGCTAGTCGACAAAGTGTTCCAAAAAAAAAAATGCCCTGAATTTCAGTTTTCATCTTTTGTGCAGCTTAGTAATGCTTTATTCTCAAATAATTTTTGGTTAAATATTGACATCTTGTGGCATAAATCAGTCACTGCAAGAATGACTCTCAATACAGTGCCTATTCTGATGAAAACATACATAATTAGTAATCTGAGCAGTTAATTTCACACATCTGTTTCAGTTCATTATTTACACAGCTAGGAAGTCAGCACATTTGCAGAAAGCTTTTTTTTTTTTTTTTTTTTTTGTTGTTGTTTTGTTTGTTTGTTTTTTTTCCATTACACATCCAGATTATTAATTAACTTTCAGAGCCTCACAAATGAATCAATGCCACTGCTAGAGGACCTGCCAACCCTCCTGGTACATTTGATACACACTGTAGGAGATTGATCTATCTAAGCCTTTACTGGTTGTCTTAGAAAAGAACACTACTATCATGCAAGCATATTACATTGAGAGAATTGTTTAGGAGGAAGAACAGTTATTCAAACTCTTGAATCTCCAAGTTTGGGTTTTTTCTCCTCCCCTGTACAAACCTAGAATTCCCCCAGTTTATCTGTTTCCCGTTCCCCTCTGGGCAGGCAGCAGAAGAATCCCATGCTGTATGCCAACAAGAACAAAAACAAATGAACTTCTGGAAGACTTTCTTCAGTCTGTGAGGAAAGGGTGCCTGTGATGACTCACTGGCAACAATTTGCTACTGAGGTGTTAAACGTGAATTGCTTGTGACAAGTACAGTGAAGAGGCCTTCAGTTACGTATTATTATGAACATAGTTCCTTCAATTTCTAATTCCTTTTCGGAAAATCAGCTTCTTCTTTTGCCTATTTTTCTGTTAAAACTTGAAAAAAATATATTGAAGATTTAATCTAGCATTTCTCTGAACATACAAAGATGGCACCTGTATGTACTGGTGGAAAATCTGGAAGAACTTGTACTCATGGAGGTGCACAGCAGTTGTAACACAAAACTTCTGGGACTGTGACTATGCCACAAGCAAATACTAGTGAATCTGAAGACAACCTCACTAACGTTAATTAAAAGAAACAACAAACACAAAAGTGGATTCTCATGCACAATATATTAAAAAAAAAAAAAAAAAAGACCAAATCACATGCCCGTGCACATTTAGTTTTTTTCCTGTTGTTCAAGTACTGTCACCTTCCCTATTGCATCATTAACACCAGACCAAACACAAAGAAGTATGTCTACTGTTTAAATAAATGCAAAGACCAGACTATTAACTCAGCTCTAATGAGTTAAGTAGGGTTTACAGTCTTATGACAGAGTGAGTGAGCTCTTTAGGGCAGAAGTTACATCTGCATAAAGTTCTCTATGCTTATATGAAAACAGGAGCTTTTAATGTCACAGTGTTCTGGTTTTGAAACGTATGATTCACTGACATTTGGATGTGAACTTGCTGAATAACTATGCTGTGATTGAAAACTTTAAAAGCACAAAGGATTCATCTACAATTTAGTAAACATTTCCATCTTGCTTCTTTGAGTATAATAGCTGAGTAAATTTATTAATACAAGTGGTGGTATTTGTGTTGTTGACATAAATTCCACTTTATTTTTAACCATATGACAAGCTAGCAACAAACTAGAAAGGTGGGAGAATAGCAGATACATAAAATTAAATTAGTTATTCAATACTGGTTTATCTGCACAATATGATAGTGCTGAGGAAGGAATAATCCTGTCATTCAAGTAGGTACTCCACACTCCACAGGTCATACAAAGTGAGTGAAGTGTTCATGTAAAAGACATCAAGTAATTCTGTTTCAATTGAGTATTCAAGACAGTGGTACGTAGGCCATAAAAACCTGCGCAACACAGAAAATTGTTGTGCACTGGCTGTACATAGTAACAATGTCATCTGTAATGATGTCATTTTCTCTTGCTATAGGAGAGCAGAACTACTAAGTCTATGAATTAAGGTTTAGATAGCACATTTAGATGTGGGTGAGATTTACCACAACCAAAAGACAAACTTGACAATCTTTTAAGAAAAGCCCCAATTCAGCTGCTTCCATAAGGGGAATTCATACTACATTATTCAATTGTTTCGGGACCTACTTTTAAATCACTGACCAGGAACCACTATGAGTGAATCTAATAAAATTTAGGCTTCCATGAGAGAGAAAAAACATGCTACCCTCCGTGGCAGGCAAGGTAATACAGTCATAAACATTACCTAAATAACAGTATCAGTTGTTCAGCTTTCATGTCTGTCTGTAAAAGAAAAAAACCATGCTGTTTTGGAATAACGTGCTTTGGAAATCTAGCATGAGCTTGCACAAATTAGTTTCACATTTTTGAAAAACTGCAAATAAAACCTCTCTTAGACAAGTCAGTTGTGTTTGCGTCAGAGTCTCTTAGAATGGTGCTTGGTCCTAGACCAGAACAACACGACTGTTAAGTAGTGTTAAGTAAACCCAAAGAGGGGGAAGAAAAGCTCCTTATAGATCTATTTAGCAACACTGGGCAAGAATAATAGACTTCGAGATTTTTTCTTTCTACACAAAATTGTTTTTACATATGAGCATCAACGAATCTTTCTTTTTTCAATTAGAATATCAAGTAAAGTACCCCAAACTCAGAACAGCTGTAGAACTTATTTTAGTGATTTATATAAGCTGAAGAGTGGATGCCATCGCCGTATATGTTTGATCTTAGCATCTTTTTTTTCCTCTCACCTGAAAGTATATGCACAAGTATAAATTACATTCATCCTAAAATGTTCATTCTCACTCCCTATAGGACAGCACATAATGTTAGTCCTTCCTTTTATTACTATTTCACCCTAAAAAAGGTCTGAAGCACTAACCCACATCAATCCAACGTGTCAGAGATTTCCCAATTGAAAATCAGAGGGATTTTCAAGAGTTCTCAGAAGGGAAGATTTCCTCTCCCTCCTTACTTTGCTCTTAGGGTGAAAGCACTGAACTTTCTCACCTGTTTTGGAAGGGACTATCCAGACCTTTCCATGATCAGCTTCCTTACCAATAAATTCCTCTCTACAAAACTTCTCAATTTCATCTCATTCTCATTGTGCATGATTCAGTGGAATAACTACAACAGTAAAATTCAAAATGTTGCCCACTGTATTGCATTTCAGCAATATTCATACTGAATTTTGTTGTAGTCGACTCTCCCAGTATTTTTATCCCAGGCAAATCTATGAAGCACAACTATATAACAAGCTCTTCAGCGCAAATGTACAATACTTCCCACAGTGTAACAGCCTGAAAAAAAAAAAAAAAAAATTCCATCTCTGTTGCTCAGCCTGAACCACATTTTGAAAGCTCAACTCCGCATTTAAGTTACATTTTACCATCTTGCAAATTTGCTGCTTAATATAGCTGCACTAGTAAATGAAATAAAAACACACACACACAGCAATCAACTCACCATGCTGTTCATTTTTGAAGAGGATGAGCTTGCTCTCTGCTTCCATAGGCTGTTAAGTTCTTCTGCATTGCCATCCTTTGGTTTTATGATCACCCGACTGCTTCCAGCAGTGCCTTCTGAGGAGGATCTGAGTCTCTTCTCAATAAATCTGCCTTCTCGGTATGGACTGAAGCTATTGGCAAGATCAACTACAAATAGACATGCAATCAGCAAGCGTTACAGAGAATTATTCTCCACAAATATTTTCTTACAGAAAACACTTCACTTCAAATGCTTAGCAAGGAATCACATAAGATTGTAACAGTGATAATTTCCATAAGGTATCCTGTAGAAAACAGATCCTATTGAACTAAATAAAACATAGCCTTTCCTTCTTTTCGCTCTTCGTTCTTGGAGGCTTCCAAACTATTGTCCAATAAAGTCTACCAGAAAAACTATCACTGATACCCTGGTGCAAAAAACATAACCTGTCTTATCTTGTCCCTAACTTCCGTAGGGCCAGGTCACAGCTTTGTTAGAAGCGTATAGCACAGTTCTTCATCCATGCTCTCCAAACTCATATTGCAGGATGCATCCCAGACCTCAACTCCCATTAAGTAAAATAACATTGGAAAAAGAGGAGAAAATTACGTTTTCAAGTGCTAGGTCAACTTCAGAGATAGGGAAAAATGGAAAACAAAATAGCATAACGTCCTAGTGATATCAGTATTCCACAGCATGACATCATGCAACAGGCTGTTGGGTGTAGAGACATAGTGCACTGTGGAGCTGTACTTCCTTGTCTCATGTTCTCTATAGCAGTTTCACATGAGCTCTAATTCTCCACGACGAAGATACACTGAGATGTAATATGTTTCCCAAGGACTTCCACATGACCTATGATTCCTGGTGACAGGGGTGGTTTTTTCCAGCAGCCCAGCAAGCAACAGCATGGTAATAGCCTTCTTTTTCTCCTCACTCGTTCGAGTTATTGTAACTCTTTTTATTATCACCTTACATTCTTTTACCATTCGTAGTAAATTTGTTATCCCTTCTTACCTTAATTGGATCATTTTTCTTCCCTTCTCCCCAGAAAGGAAGTAAGGGGTCCCCTTGCCCGGTTGTACTTGAAATCATGACACATAATAAATGTAACACATGTGAAAATCTTAATTTCTTATGCCTTTTGCAAGAAAGCAGACATTTCCTTAACAGCTTTACAAAAAGAAAAAAAAAAAGTATTGCATAAAACTATATAGGCATATATTAAGAAATGCATTGCAATGCAAATGTCCAATCTGGTCAGACATTTGAGTCACATTTTATGATGCTGTCAACCACTGAAATCTGCCCTCAGACCAACCATGGAAGAGAAAGTACTTACTGTTACATAAAGTGTACAGAAATACTTTACATTGGCACCCAGTTTTAAATACTATTCAGTGTTCAAAAACGTCTGTTGGCACCAACAACAATACTTATAATTACATCTTGCCCAACACTACAGACTTTTGCTATGCTCATTTTACTTCACAGAACAGGATTTTCTGCACTTTTTCCTTAAATGTGTTTGATCACTTTCTAATTTTAAATAAATTCTTCACTATACAAATTGGAAAAAGAATGCATTTGGAATAGAATTAAAAAACCATAATAATTAATCGCCGACTTTTAAGTAGTGCAGTATTAGCTGGAGTGTTTAACTGAATATTAAGTTCATTTACAAAAGTCTATTACACTTCCAACACTAGTAAGCTGTCTTACAGGCATACACATTAAGTATACAATTGCTGATGCATGATTAGAAATACACACAATTTGCAGCTGATCACTTTGAGACACTCCTTGTTTTTCATTGTAACTACTCCACTCTACTAAATCAGATTAATAAGTGTGAGCCCATTTCACAAGTGAGCCAAAGAAGAAAAGCCAGAGTGCTCAGAACAGATAACATACTTAAATTAAAACACCTTTTTTTTTTGTCCCACCTGAATAAGGTTCAAGATAAACAGGTCTCCTCTCGTGAAAGCTAATTTAGGGGATTAATTTGATGTTACGTATCCATTTACGAACAAGATATCCAACAATCCAGTACAGTGAAAAATAACTGAAGAGTAAGATTGCTTCCGATCTACATGACTAAGTAAATGTCCAGGCTTCTCCAGGAGAATGCTGTGTGAGATAGCGTAAAATGCTCTGCTGAAGTCTAGGTAGGCTATGTCAACAACCTTTCTCCCATCCACAGTGCAGGTCACCTCATCATTGCAACACTGTAGAGGGAAGTCAAGCTGGTCAAGCATGACATGCCAAGCTGGCTAGGCCTGATCCCCCTGGTTGTCCCACAGAAGCTGTGTGATCACACTTCAGATGGTATATTCTATAACCTTCTCCAATACTGAGGTCAGGCTTCCCCTGAATCTTCCTTCCGACCCTTCTTGTAGATGGGTCTCACACGGCAAGTCTTCAGTCATCTGGGACTTTCCAGCTGACCAGGACTTCTGATAAATGATGCAGAGTAGCTTGGTGAGCATTTCTGCCAGTTTCTTCAGTACCCTCAGCTAGATCCCATCCAGTCCCATAGATGTGTAATAGTCTAGGGGAAGAGCAAATCACTGTTTCCTCCTGAATTACAGGAAGTATTATTCACAAGAGTTGTCCTGTGAGTGGAACTTCGTGCTTAAAACTTAGTTTCCAGCTTCTATGATACTCAGCCTTTCCTGACCAGACTTGCAAACAGTTGTACAAATCTGGCACAAGTCAAAGTCAACAAATGCCTGTATTTAAGTGGCATGATCTAGGCTGAAGCGCATGGAAAACAAAGCCAAAATGACACAAGTTCCACAAGTTATCAGATACTACATCTCAGGTTGATATTAAACATGGTTCTTTCAATCAGAGCAGAGAATGATTTTCTTTGAGATTTTATTTACAATTTTCTATAAACTGAGATTGAGGAATAGCTTATTCACTCCATCTTGTTAGTATTTTCAAACTCTTTTTTGAAAGTTAAAGACCCAGCTGATCGTTAACATTCTCCATTGTATAATCTGTGAAATGACCACCTGCACAGCGCTATTTCAGATAGAAACAGCAATATACTATTTTATTCTGTCACTGTAACATTTCCTTCAAGCTACTTAACAGCATCGTTTCATCACAGCATAAAAGCGTGTGAATATCAGGAACTTTTGAAACCTAGAGTATTGCAAGATACAAAGGAAATTATTGTTCATAATCAGCTAAAGGAGGCTTATTTTTTGGCAATTTTTCTTAGCCAAACAATAAGCCTTCAACTCAAGTCCAAAATATGCATGCCTCAAAAATCCCAGAATTTCCATTCAACAAGAGGCAAGAATCAATTTTCTTTCTTAATGCATTTCGTATGTAAAGAAAATAAAGATACCAACATCACTGAGAGATGTTATTATTACTAAATGGTAAAACCTGAATCCCAAAAAAAACAACGGTTTTTGTTTTATACCTTTTGTTATTCTGATTTAAGCTTGATTTTGGAGGAAAAAACAATTCATAACTTCTCACCTTTCTAGATAGCACTGACAATGCTAAACAAATACTTAATGACCGAACAATCCCTAAATCATAACTAAGGGGAAAAAGAAAGCAAGTCAACTTCAAAACCATCAAACCTCACAATTAAATAAGAGTACATACCGTTAGGATGGTTTGTTTCATATCCCTGTTGCGTTTTAAAGGACTGAGATTCAGAACACTGAATAATCTTAGGCTCTGTTACAGGAATTGTTTCTCTCTTGTGCTTGGAGAACGTGATTTCCTCTTGGTCCCCACTCAACTCCTTAGCTGCTGGAGAGTGCATCCCCAGTTCTTCTTTATGCTGTAATGCAAAGGTTTCTAAATTCACCTTTGCTGAGTTCATTTCTCCTTTGTGCCTGGCATCTGTAACATGTAGTTCATTGGCTTGCAATGATACTCTCGTTTGATTAGCAGCTGAAGTTTTGAACAAAGTATTAGATTCAACACTACACAAGCTTGCATGACTTGCAGGAGATACAGCAGCAGACTGGCAAGGACTTCCCACATAATCCATTTCCTTCACCGGAACAGCAGCAGGATTTAAGATTATCTGAGAGGTAGAGACACTATGGCCAAAATCCTCTGCTGGCAGCACACCATTCCCACTGCCGGGCAGAGCATCAACCTCTGAAACAGAATCCTCCGTCAAGGTTATGAAGTCAGAGGGGGTCTGGACAGCCGTGAGGTCAGCCGAGAGCAGTGGAGACTGCAAAGCACTCCCCATGCACTCCATCACCTCAGCTGAGCATGGAGAAGAGGACGTGGCAATCACTGGCTCACTTTCAACATAGGATTTTATCTCCAGCATGCACCCAGTCTGCTGCACAGAAGAAACTGATTGACTCTGTGGAACCGGTTTGGAAAACTTGTAGTGCGATGAGAAAGATTTAGGGAGAAGTTTTCGTGTGGACTGTTTGACAGAGTAGCGGCTCTGTTCCTCCACAAAGCCAGAATCGTCACCCTCATTTTTGCCAGAGCTTATACAATTTATGAAGACATTCTTATTAGCTGAAGATTCCTTTCCTTTTTCGAAATCATCTGTCAAAGACCTTGTTATCTTCTTGCTACGCGAACTGCCAAAACTAACCGAATGCCTTCCTCTGCTTTTAATGTGTTCCTCCAGGCACAGTTTTTGAAAAGTACTGAGAGAGGGCTGGTCACCATTTGAGATGTTAACATTCTGGCTGGCGGCATCAGGCTTTTGCTCCCCCCCCTTCTTGTTATGGAAGCTAATGGAAGGAGTTCGGAATATGCTCCGGCGCTTGCCTGTGCTCCCTGAGCTGGAGTTAGTGCTGGATGGGGAGGAGGTGTGCACACCCACAGTGCTGGCAGAGGAAGGCGAAGAAGGGAGGGAGTCATGTCTCCGGCTAATACTTCTTCTGAATATTGGCAACCGAGACACTAGAGTTGATCGCCTGGATCCTGAGTCCCCCATTAGGGCACGAGGCGCTCACACTTCTTCACAACCAAGAAATTAATCTGGGGTGAGAAAGAAAGACAGAGAATAATAATTCAGCCTAAAGGCCAAGTGAACAAGTTAAGTCAGCCAAAACACTTGATACATCAAAGTCTATCTTACGTACAACTCCATCTCATTATATATTATTACAATTTCAGTTATTTTGATCTGCAGCACCAAAATCCTAGTAACTGAGCAAAGATGTGGCTCAAAACATTCTACACAAGATATACAATTGTATACATTATGCAATGCATATCATACTGAGTAACAGTATAATATTATATTAACAGCACTGCAGATATAACTACAACAAAATTAATCTTTAAGAAATACACAACAGTTGTTCCTCCTTTTGGTTTTTGCCATATTAAACTACTGTGGTGAGTGACAGGACTGCTGAGAGAACAATAAAACCAGATGATACGATCACAAGAACAAGAGAGGTCTAATGCTTAAGTGTATCTTATTGAATTGCAAGTGTTCAGCACTTAGGAAAAAATACCAGGTCATTTATCTAAGCAGTATTTGTATGTCAAGCACAAAAAACAAATTCATTCATCTAATACAATACATATGAATGGCATGTATATTTATATAGTGTGTATGTATACACATACAAACATACACATACATACATATGGGTACCTATAATTACATCTATACTATGTTACTGTAAAAGTAAGAGTAATAATTAAGTTTAGAGATTGTGAGTAGACAGCTTCTGTCAGCACGGCTCCAGTTTGAATGTGCACTATCAAGCAGCCACAATTTAAGTAGCATCAAGAATGAATTACATTTTCTAGCTTATGAAGGGAGACATAGCTTGCAAACAGCCACTGATTTCCAGAATACACTGACCATTACAAGCTAAAACCTGAGCTGGATAATACAGAAGTCCAGCAACTGAATTGACACAAATTTAAACTGTCCTGTCCTACAGGGACAGAATTGATGATACAGGCAAACAAGCAGGTTATCAAAATAGCTTTTCATCAATTAAACCAAATGACACAAGGACTCTGATACATAAGGCCCCTCACGTTTACAATGCTAGGAGCAAAAGTACTGGCAGCAACAGAGAGGATCCAGGCCATCAGCCCACATGAGGACTTAGGTTGCTCTACATTCTTCACCTGCCCACAACCCAACCTACTGAAAACACGTCAGAAAGCTGCATGCAGCTCCATCTGCCCTCTCCACACAGATCTCTGCTTTTAGTTACCTTCAGATATATCGTGTTAATTCAGATATATTGTGATGTTGTTGGTGGGCTTGGGTAGGTTTTATTTTTTTTGCTTTCGTAAACATGTGCTTGCAGGCATACAGATGTGTGCAGACAACACAAGATTATTCAATAAGACTATGAAGGCCCTTCATAGTATTTTCATAAGATGTCATAATCACTGAAAAAAGCTTTTAGAATGTAGTGTTACAGCTGCAGTAGATAGGCCAAATATTTTTAAAAATATTAAATTGCTATGGACTTTGTTACGCTCAAATCATTATTCACTCCCATTGTCTGCTCTCTGGCCCACATCTTAAGTATCAGTTCACTAGAGGAATTAGGAAATTAACTCAATAGAGAGTCAAAGGAAGTTTAAAAAGGAGAAAAAAAAGCACATGTTATTCCATTTGCAATAAGAAATCTGTGTCTAAATAATAATAGACATTATTCCTATCAACCAATCCTGATGTCACTGCCCAGGTAGCAGTTCTTAATGGAATTCCTTTCTCTAGCAGCAGATAACATAAATGGTATTTGCTCATTCATTCTGCCTTGCCTCTTGAAGGCAGAGCACACACAGGCTGTCAACACTTCTATCATCCAGGCAGCAAAAATCCTCACGCATTAAATAAGCTCATTACAATAAGGTATAAGCTCATTATAATCAACTATAAGCTCATTAAAACATTTACCATTCTTTCTAGGGAAACAATGGCTATCATAAAACATTTCTGAAAACAAACAGCCATGCATACAGGAATGCTTAATTGCATATGTGGGACAATGTCAATGTTCAGCCCTGAGTCAAAATGATTGTTCTACTTGCAATATAGAAAAGATATACATTGATATACACAAACAGTTAAAAGACTTTTTTCCTTAATACAGGAGGATTATAAACTGCCATCTGTGTTCTACTATTAACTATATTAAAGAGGTGGTACTCCCTTTCAGTCTTCACATACACCTTAATTGTGTTTACTATTTTATAGTGGTAAATCTTAGAGTGAAATTCAGTTCAGCTACACTGTTATTCTCTACATAGAAAAATGTTTATACCAAGCCACTAAATATCTATATCCAATATTCTTAGCCCTACTGACAAAGTTCATAAAAAGCAAAAATAAAGGAAAAGAAAACAATAGAGAAATATCTTTGAATGACAGATAGCTTTTGCCCTTGCAGACCAATCTGTCAATTAACTTGGACTTTTCCTACAAAAATCACAGCTATTCTGATCCGGCACATTAATTCTAGGACCTACCGCAAAGCTTCTTTTACCTTCAAGAAACAACAGCCTTGTTAGAACAGTAGCTATAATACTAGTCAAGCAAACAAGAAGGATCTACAAAAACAAAGCAGGCAGGTCTAGGATGGTTTTCCATTGTATCAGCATCCTTGCTTAAAAAAATATATATTTTGCACAACCATCACATCATATGTGTCAAAATATAATCTGAATGATGTTTAATATAGAGGTCAGAACGCAGCTACATGATACAACTTGGGATGGATTTTTGATGCACATTATTTCATGTGGTATAATATAATACTAAGTATGATATTATGAGAAAAAAAATAAGTAACCTGTCTTTAAAACATTTAGTTGCAGTCAGAATAATGATGGATTATCCCATGATCTGCTGTTCCTCAACACCAATGAAAATTAAGAAACATGCAAAGTGTGAAGCAGAATGTGAAAGAGACTTTTTCCCCATTCTTAGCAATTTTAATAGTTAATCAGATGTAAATAGTTTCTTTTCACAAAAGAAAAAAATAAAATTCTGATTAATCTCAAAAAATATACTGAAGTCATGTACTTCATTACAAGAGAAAACCCAGCGGGCAAGTTTGTTTTACTTCTTCCCATATGAAAGATCTTAGGAGAAACAATCCAAACACACAGTATTATACAAAATATGTAAATGAACAGGGTAAGAATTTTACAACATGCTCTGTACTTTCTAAGTTGTACCTTAACAAAAGAAAAAAATGACTTTCAACTTCTAGCTAGTAAAGGTAGAAAAAGTAAAGTACAAATGTTTGAAATGGGTAAAAGTTAACTAAACACTACCCAGTGTCTTCAGAGAAATCTATTGGCTGACCATCAGCTGAACAATTAACCCCAGTACTTTTAATTTCCCCTTCTGCAGAGAGTTACTCACAGAGCTGTGCCAGTGCAGGCTAGGTATTTCAGAGAGCAGCTCTGGCTGGGGTGTTTAGACACCAGTAGATGGAGCAGTCGTTCTGCTTTTTAACTGATCACAAATACAACAAAGCATTAACGCCTTCTGCACTTCTCACAGTCCTTGAGACAAATTTAGGACCTGAAATTATTTGTGAATTTTACCATTACCATAAGTATATGCCCACACTAAAATCTAATAGATGCTTATTCAACAAATAATTGTCATGTGTAGGCCTACAAATGTTTTTCCATTATAAAGTACTACCTCTAAACATTTTCTAAACAAATCTTTCCTAAAGATTTCCTCCTTAAAGACATATCTTCTAGAAATATTAAACAGTACCTGCCACACGAAGTTGAAAACAGGATTAGCTGTCTAAAAGTCTAAATGGGAAGCTAAATGACAAACACCTGAAAGGCCCTGACCTTTACTCAAAATAAGAACAGAAACAGTGAATCAGGAATCATCTATTAGATGAAACACACAGGACTACTGTGAATATTTGTACAGAGAACATGCGTGATCATCCTGTAATGTCTCCTGCACCACTGAGATGTCTGCAGGGACTTGCAGAGACATGACATTGACCCCAGTGTACTACAGGAACCTGAACTAACTCCCAAATAAACACATATGAAATAAATACATTTCATTTTCAGTCAATCAACAGAAGTCCGGTGCAGCTCACGCACTCATGATGAATTGCCCATTAACACAGCAGGCAGCTTCAAAGTCTGCGTATGCCACACTTACGTACTAAGCAGCTAAGCACTACTGCCTTGAATATTACTCCAATTTTACCAAATTTTGTTTCAATCTCATTTGTGTCTCCATCGTATTTATTTCATTTTGCTTTTTTCCTTTGCATAGCCCATCAAATCCATTAAAATACTCATTTTTCATTCAAAACAAACTTCTGTGTATAAACCCGTCTATAAACCCATTGTGGAACAGCTGCCACAGCTGTATTTTCTGTGTTTGATTTTATAAGCTAGATTGATCTTGGCAATCACTTTATTTTTGAGTTTGATTTTTCCTCAATAGTTATTTATAAGCCGAGAAAGACTAACCAATATAGAGAGTTGAACTTCCACAAAGTTCCTCATGTCTACACATGCATACAATGCAACACATCTTTTCCTCTCTGTATTGCACTGTGTGTGTTTATCAGGAAGAAGGGGAAGAAAAAAAGATACTTTAGGTCAAAAAAAAAAAAAAAAAAAAAAAGAGAGATTTCCCTCAGGTTCACAAGTTCAGGAGTCCATGCTTATTTTTTTTTCCAGAATATTAGTGCTTTCAGAAGCAACAAAGGAAGAAAGCAAATTTATTTGGAGAAAGTTAATTTTAAGTCACACATACATCAACACAGCTGTCTCCAGTTCTGACTGCTCAAGTACAAAAAAGAACGACAGCATTTGTAAGTCTTGAACTCCTACCCCCTGAGCGTGAGATTTTACCTATATCCTCTTTTGACTTTAAATTATGAAGTAAGCGTTAACATGAAATAAGTCATATGGCTTATTTACTCATAATCACTAAGTAAACAAATAGGGAAATTGAACTCTTAAAAA